GAGGGGGGAGGGGGGCGGGTATATACATACATAATGAGTGAGATGTGCACCATCTGGGGGATGGTCATGCTGGAGACTCAGACTTGTGGTGGGGGGGTGGGCGTTTATTGAAACCTTAAAATCTGTACCCCCATAATATGCCAAAATAAAAAAAAGATTAAAAAAATTTTTAAAAAAGAATAAAAAAAAAGAATTCACAAAAATAATAAAAAAAAGCATAATTTATCAAGGAGAAATGCTTTTTGACTGGTAGCATAAAAAAAACAACAACATATATAAATAGAAAAAGAAGAAAACTAATGTCTGTATAGTTCCCTGCATGTCCCTCTGACAATCTGGCTTATTCCAGGGATAATTTTCTATTGTTGTTATTGTTTGTTCATGGGGTTTTTTTGGTAGTATTTCTTTTTTTTTTATTTCAGCATATTATGGGGGTGCAAATGTTAATGTTACATGTATTGCCTTTCCCCCCTTCCCCCAAGAATCAGAGCTTCAAGCGTGTCCATCCCCCAGATGGTGCACATTGTACTCATTATGTATGTATATACCCAGGGATAATTTTTAAAGTACCAAAAGAATGAGACAGATCATTTCCCTCAAGGCAGCTGGGCTACGTGTTGGGTGGAGTTGACGTGAAAGAACCTGCAAAGGGGGTTTTGTTTGGGCTCAGCTGCTTGCTGCACAGAAGGCCAACTTCCGAGACCACGAGGACTACCTCGTGGAGGAGAAAGGAAGTGGTTTGCAGAGGATGTCAGCCAGGAGGTGAGAGGACTGCAGGACCACCTCAGATCCGCTGCCCGACTGACAGGGGTCAAGGGGATTTGGGAGGTGGCATGAATAATGCATGAAGTGCGTGAGCAGCATTGCATGCTGGGGTGGAGTGCGGGACGTGCATGGGCAGTGAGACATCGGGCCAGCACAGGCGTTGCATGATGGAGAAATGGCGGGTCAGCCCCTCCCAGGGCGGAGATGAGCTAGGTGGTGACAGTGGCCGTCACGTTAGCCTTGTGGGCATGCGGGTCGTGGGGAGTGGGCTGCTCAGCGGGTCCTTGGGCAGGATCCGTGGTGGGTGCTGCTCCTCTCGACTTCTCTGAGCAAGCGGGCAGTGTGAGGCCTGGCAGTGATCTCTCGGCTGCAAGGAGAGTCGCTGTTTCTGAAAAACAGCTCAAAAAGGAGTGGAAAGTTAAAAGGTCCTGGTTGGCAAATCTTACTGGCCCGGGCACTTGAAACATAAGAGAACTTCAAAAAAGGCATTCTCATTCATGGAGCCTGTCCAGGCGTTAGAAGGACCACTCCCAACAGAGGCCTGGAATGCAGAAGCGCCACGTTCCCTGGGAAACGCCACCCAGTTTCTTTTAACCATGACTCAGCTGGAACTGATGGGTTTTGGGGAAAGGTTGTCATCCTCTGAGAAAGCTGAGTATGGAAGGAGGCCATGTCCTCTGAGACAAGGCCACCCCACTTCCGTCTGGGGGAGAGCTAAGAGCACATGGACGGACCAGGCCAGTCGTCTCCTTGAAAAGAAGCTGCAGGGCCACTTACGCAAAGGGCCATGCAGCACTCATGTGACTTTCTTCTCTGAGCTTCAGTTCCTTTTCCCCTCTGAGCTTCAGTTCCTTTTCCCCGGCGCCCTCTGGAGAGTTCTATGATTCCAAGCCATGGTCTCTCCAGCAAAGAACTCACAGTCTCATACCAAATCTTTCCCAAATAATGGCAAAACATACAGGACAGTAAAGCAGCCAGGGACAGATAGCATGCCAACGACAGATACAAAAGCGATTTAGAAACAAAAAGCGAAACACCAGCTTGAAACGGAACTAAACCTTGTAAGAGAAGTGGAGTTTGGCAGAGTTGAAGAGGGAAGAGTTTAAGAACAACACCCTCTGCCTTCTCACAAGACAAGGGATTGCTGAAGAAGTGAATCTGCATTCATTCATTCAACAAATATTTCTTGAGTGGGGCCAGTTTCTCAGAGCTGGAGGCACAGCAATAAACAAACCAGGTGAAAGCCCCTGAATGCATTGGGCTTACATTTTACAATGCGGGATCCCTAACCATATAAGCAAGTAGAAGATGTCTGCCCAGGTCACAGCTGATTCCCTTACCCAGAGGCTACGTCTCTTCCCCACGGTGCTCACTGTATTTAGAGACTCACTTTTTTTTAAGTGGGACTCTATTTCCCTTCCCTGGGCTCTCATGCAGATCCCATGGGCAGAGCACACAGGCAGAAAAGGAGGCATCCACGCAGGGGCAGAGAATCTGTGTTCAGAGCCTGCCTGCCAACCCAATATGGACCCACCGTCCTTGGCCCAAGCGTGTGGCCTTCAGCTCTCCCTTAGCTGCACATGGGCTGGTTCCTGTGGGGCAACTCAAACCCTCCACCACCCACCCAGCCTCCGCGGCACATCTAAGTCTGCTGGGAAACCATGGCTTATACCACTGCTCTGGGTCACCCGTCATATTATGGTCACCTCAAGGCAGAAAAGGCTTAACTTGAAGATACTCCTGACCTTATCCCTTAATTCCTCACCCAGGCATGCCAAGCAAGAGCTTTCAGGCGTCAGACAACTTTCATACCTATCACCTGGAGTTTGTCTCTGGATGTCCTTCCACCGTGGCTGAGGCTCCATTCCCGCTCAGGCTGGCCTGTGGGCAGCAGACATTCCATATGTGAGCCACCCAGGGGTGCTGACAACCTCGGGACCAGCATTCCTGCCATAGAACGTCCAGCTCCAGTGGGTTTTACTCTTTCCATTTCCACTTTAATCACAGCAGAGGCAGTGACTCCTAACATTCAGGGAAGTGCTTATGTGTGCCAGGTTTAAGTTAAAGCATCACAGATATTATCTCATTCATCATTCCCCAGAACCACTCTATGATAGAGCCTCTAGGATTATTCCATTTTATAGACAGAAAAAACTGACTCATAGAAAAATTAAGTAAGTGGCCTGTGCTCACGTGTCTTGGAAGCAGTGGAGCTGGTCTGTTTCTAAAGCAATGTTGGCTGTGAAATGCAGCCTGGCTTGGGTGCAACCTGCTCAAAACCTGATGACTTCCAGGACTCCCAGAGCTGAGAAAAGAAGGAAGCACCCTTCCCAAATATATTCCCTTTCCCTAAAACAGAAAATGCACACATGAAGTCCTCCCTCCAGGTAGCATTCTTTTTTTTTCTTGTTTTTATTTCAGAATATTATGGAGGTGCAAATGTCTTGATTACATGGATTGCTTTTCTACTGCTTGAGCCAAATTTATAAGTATGCACATTACCCAGATAGTGTACATTGTACCCATTAGGTATTATTTTACCCATCCCCTTCTCCCCTCTCCCCACTGTACTATTTCTGTTTAATTTTACTACCATGTGTGCTCATGAGTGCTAATCAGTTAGTTCCAATTTAATAGTGAGCACATGCGGTGTTTGTTTTTCCATTCTTGGAATACTTCACTTGGGAGGATGGTCTCCAGTTCCATCCAGGTTGTTGCAAAAGATATTAATTCATTTTTTATGGAAGAGTAGTACTTCATGGTATACATATGCCATATTTTATTAATCCACTATGAATTGATGGGCACTTGGGTTGATTCCACATCTTTGAGATTATGAATTGTGCTGCAATAAACTTTCTAGTGCAAGTGTCTTTTTGATAAAATGACTTCTTTTTCCTTTGGGTAAATACCCAGTAGTGGGATTGCTGGACTAAATGGTAGGTCTACTTTTAGTTCTTTAAGGAATCTCCATACTATTTTCCATAGAGGTTGCACTAGTTTGCAGTCCCACCAGCAGTGTATGAGTGTTCTTTTCTCTCTGCATCCACACCAGTATCTATTGTTTTGGGACTTTTTGATAAAAGCCATTCTGGGTTTTAGGTGATATCTGGGGTTAGGTGTTTTGGGACTTTTTGATAAAAGCCATTCTGGGTTTTAGGTGATATCTGGGGTTAGGTGATATCTCATCGTGGTTTTGATTTACACTTCTCTAACAATTAGTGACATTGTGCTTTTTATTCCAAATGTTTACTGGACATTAGTGTATCTTCTTTCAAAAAGCTTCAGTTCATGTCTTTTGCTTGAGAATCATAGGCCTCCCTGAGGGTGAAGAAGAAAACACACAGGGTTGGAAAACCTATTTGAGGTAATAATTGAAGAAAGCTTCCCTGGCCTTGCTAGAAATTTAGATATCCAGGCACAAGAAGCTCAATGAATACCTGGGAGATTCATCGCAAAGAGGCAATCACCAGGACACACAGCCATCAGACTGGCCAAGGTTAACAGGTAACATTCTAATATTAACCAGTAGATCTTGATCAGCTGGTTTGGGAGAATTCCAGGTGACCCCACCTTCACCTTTGAGTCCTGTGATACCCAGGTTTCCATTGTGCTCTGTCAGTTGGCCCTAAATCCTAGGGGAGGCCTTCCTCCTCCAGAGCCACTGGAGATATTAACTCCAAGGGGAGATTTCATCAAAGTGTGACGTGTCATTAAGAGGGACCCACATTCCACTGCCCCTGAAACCAGCAATTGAATGTGGACTCATTAACTATGTCCTGGGAGTCTGACTTGTGCCAACCACACTTCCAGGTTCAGGGGATAAAAAACAGTGAACAAAATAAATTTGTAAAAAGTCTCCAGCAGCCTGGCTTGTCACAACAGCCACCCAATTTGTCTCCTTTTATCTTCCTTTCCCCTGGCCCCAGTCCACTTCCCCATCTTTTTAAAATGAAAACCAATTGTGTCACCTCCTTCTCAATACCTCCGTGGCATCCCATTGTCCTTACGGAACAGTACCAAGCCCTTAAAGTGGTTTCTGAGATAGGCCTCCATGGAGTGACCCTCAGGTGCATTTCACGCCACCCACTTTCACGGAATCTGTCACTTCTCTTTACTTTGACCTGGTGCTGTTCAGACCTGGGGTTCTGAAATTAAATGAGAAAATATATTCAAAGTACCCAGACCACAAGTGATGCCTGATGCCCCTCTGTTCAGTCTCCCATCAACATGCTCCTCCCACTTTAGAATAACTTTTAGTAGCTGTTTGCAAGAAAAGACAAGAGACGTCAAGTCTTTATTCTCTCCACCACTCCCCTAAAAGATCTTGTCACGGAGCCAGCACCTTTGGGATTTGGCCATATGCAAGCTCTGGAAGACTTTGCAGAAGGTTTGTGATATTGTGGGTAATGGAGGCCTAAGGAGAAGGGGGTACTGCAGGTCTAGGGGACCCCTTCCTGGGACCCACAGGTGGGCAGATGACCAGGGTGAATGAGGACCACGTAGCCACATGCTCCAGCTGCACACGTGCCTCAACCCTTCTGTTGGCTGAGAAGTATTTTCATTTTGCAATTAAGCTGCACACTGACCCTCAGCCATGCTCATTCCATGCTTGCTTATTGAGAACCTACTATGTGAAAAGTGCCAAGAGTGCACAAAGTGTAAGAAACAGGGCCTGGTCCCTGCTTTGCAGGAGCCACCACGTGTCTGCATGGAAAGCTTTCTATTAAGATGAGAGGTCTCTCTGGCTTCTGGGCTGAGCTCACGTTGCCCACCGGAGGGTGATATGAAGTGCTTTTCCATTGCAGCTGCTGTGTGCCCAGGCCCCATGGAGCTGGTCACCCCAAACTTGCATTTAGCAAAGTTTTTTCCCAAGTTTAGCCATCTGGTCTTAGGCAGAGCAGGTGTTGTTTTGCAGTTAAATAAAATGCCATGAGGGCACTTCAGCTACGCACTGGTGGTCACGCATCTAATAATTAGCCACGTGGGGTCTGGAATTCACCTTCCCAGACATTGAAGCCAAAAGTTCTTGTGCTGCTACGGCCGCAAGCCTGGCCACAGGGAGGAAGACACAAGATAGGCTGAGTCCTAGCTCATTTGGTGTCCACAACAACCTCCCTGTGAGACTGTGGTTACTCTCAGCCACCCAGGTGGGGACAGAGACTTAAGGAGGTGAAGTTCCCGGACCCCACCTGCCTGTACTCACGGACACCCTGTGGGCTGGAATTCACCAGGAAGGGTGGAAGGCACTCTTTACACACCGCAAACTTACAGATTCCAAGTACAGGAATTCCAGCCAGTGTCGAGTGCAACCAGGAAGGCGGCCAGGTGCAGCAGGACAAGTCCTGTCTGCAACCAGGAAGGCGGCCAGGTGCAGCAGGACAAGTCCTGTCTGTACCCAGGGCTACAGCTTGAGCCCTTAACTCACACCAGTCCTTGGAGGGCCTGCGTCAGGGCTAGGGGTGGAGTGGGGTAAGGGGGGGGCTCCTGGGTTGGAAAGAACCACGGGGGACTCCAGCCAGCCAGTGTTTATCCTCTGAGCTGATCTGCAGCAACTGCCCCAGACCTTGTCACCTCCCACTCTCCAGGCTCCTCTGCCAGGCTCTGCGTTAGGGGGCCCCAGGGTGGAGGACAGTGGCCAGCAGACACGGTGACTCCTGAGTGCTTGGGCAAAACCGGGGAAGAGAGAAAACGCCAGCTGGCTTGGTGTGTGTGTGCATGTGTGTGTGTGTCTGTGCGTGTGTCTGTGCATGTGTGCGTGTGTGCACGTATGCATGTGTGCGTGCATGTACATCTACGTGTGTGTGCACATGTGCATGTGTGTGTGTGTGTGTGTGTGTGTGTTTACAATATTGGTGGCTGATCACCAAACAGCTCTCCCTCAACCCTTTACAGAGTTCTTAGGTCTCTCTGCTCAAAGATGCCTTCTCTGAACCCCCTCTAAGGTAACTTCTCCTCCATCCTCTTATCCTGATTAACTTCTTCACACACCTCTCCCTGCCTGACACCACATCTCACAAACACACATACACACACGTGTACACAGTTCACAGGTTTTCCGTCCGTCTCTCCCACTAGGTTAACCTCTTCCAATAAAATAAAAGCTCTAGGTGGAAAGGGACCCCGCCCGGTGAATCCATCTGCATGGCACCAGAAAGCAGAGCCGCTGCCAGGGGAGCAGGAGGTCTCGAGTGCCGTCCGCAAGGCTGCAGCGCACGGTCGCAGACGTGTCCCACGGCCGAGGCCTGCTCCCTCCCGGGAAGGCTGAGAAACCCTCCACTCCGCCAACGCTTTCCAGACCTCGCAGGAGTCTGCCATGCGGCAGACCCTGACGCAGGCCCAGCATGGAAGGGACAGGATTGTCGGCCTGGGGGACAGATGGCCAGCACTTCCTGCAGATCCAAGGGTCACAGCCCCCAGACACACAGCAGGCCACGGCCAACACCCACAAACAAGGAATCAATGATATTAGAATTAAATACGCTAGAAATTTTAAGTAATATGACTTTCAACAATTAATAATTTTCTTTATGAGCTATTCAAGAGTATCTCACTGCATCTTTATTTGGAAGAAAAGCTCATTGTTAACACAGTTTGCAATTTCACAGCAGCCAGCCCATTTACATACAGAGAATCTGTCACCAGCTTTGTTTGTGAAACCTGTTGTTCCTACCTTCAGAAGTGCAGCAGGAACATCCTGCACCAAACCTCCACCAGGCTTATCTCCCCGTGGGAGGCAGGCCTTGTTTACTGTCCCTGCCACCTGTGTCTTGGGCGGCCTGTGGGCAGCAGGGCCACGCTTTCTCATCTCTGAAATCCCAGCCACACACGCACAGCCCGGTGCAGAGGAGAGGCTCGGTAACTGTTTGCTGAATGAGTAG